CCCGACGACACGCGCTCCCCGCTGGGCGGCGGGGCCTCCCACAGGTCCAGGAAAGGCCGCCCGGAGAAGTGGCCGAAGCCATCCATGCTCCCGCCCGGCGCGCCCAGCATCGGAGCCAGGACCCCCGAGCCTCCAGGGGGCGCTGCCGAGACTCCCCCGCCTCCGCGCGCCCTGCGATCCAGGGGCTCAGGGCGCTTGTGACGCTCGTGCTTCTTCACAATGACGCCCCTGGCCGCGCGGGCCCCGCAGCTTTTGACCGTCTCCCTAGAACTCGGCTTCCCTAGAACCCTGCACCTCGGGAGCGGGGATGGGGGGGCAGGAGGCTGAGGAAGGGCTCAGGGAAGAAGGGGGTTGTAGGAAATGAGGGGTGACCCTTAAAGCTAATGATGCGCACTGAGCCACCGCCAGTATTTTAGGCAGGAATTTGATCTCGCATCTGTACACCTTAAAAACGTCAGGCTTCTAAAAGAACCCGGGGGGAGGCGTGGTCACCTCCAGAAGGGGGGAGGGTCCAGGTGCAGTGGCAGGGAGGGGGTGGGGTGAGGAGCCCTCTGAGTCATCCTTAGGTGACCTCCGGGGACACCATCCCTACCTCCCTGCACCTCTACAGAGCACGCAAATTAAGCGGCCTGTGGAAGCACATTAATGGGACGCACCACACTTTTGCCTTTTTAAGTCCAAAGTATGTTTTGTTTACTTTTTAAAACTCTAGAACAGGAAAAAGACTAGTAGGCCCTTCTACCCCTAATACGGCAGTTACTGCTTTTGTCAAAATATGACTCTCGGGTGCATGTTTCGGAAAGGGCATCCGCGAACACTGTGCTGAAACTGTATTTATTTCTGTTCTTTTTGTCCAGTTTGGTGGGATCCTGTCCTGGTTCAGGTACCCTGGGTGAAAGGGAAAAGCATGGGGCTTGACTCTCCTCTGTCACTTTCCAGCTGGGTGGCCTTGGACCCAGCAACCTGCCTTTCCTGACCCTCGAGCTCTGGAGAAGTAGATGGAGTGGAGGAAGGGCTCAGCTTCATGCGTTTAACAAACATTTTGATGTTCTGCTAGGCTTCAGATAAAAATTGTAAGACTTAACGTTCGGGTTTACAAAAGTTTCTACAGACTCCTAGCTCAAGAAAAGATGAATGGAACTAAGGTAAATCCTAAAAGACCTTAGGTAAAGGGTGGCACACTAGGGAGGGGCCATCCCCACACTCTGTCACGTTTGTCCTGTGGATCTTGGCCAAGTCACTTCCCTTCTCTGGGGTGCAATGACAACACAGTTCTGGGTGGCGTTCTCCAAACAGGGTCACTCCTTCAAGAAGAAAACTGAGCATTTACTCACCCAGGTCCTCCTTACTGCACCTCCTGGGAGTCTCATAGGAACCCCGGCTGGATGGGAACAGTAGAATTGACATTTCCTGAGTGATGTGGCCCAGAGACTGGCCATGATAACTGATTTCCTCTAAGGTCATTGGGTCAATGGTGGGACTTTTGACTTCATTCACTTCTCTTTCCGTGACTTCGTGCTGCTTCTCAGGAAAGCACTTTTAATTCACACACGTGTTATGGATTGAATGTTTGTGTCCCCCAAGTTCATAGGTTGAAACTTTACCCTCAGTGTGTTGGCATCTGGAGGTGGAGCCTGATAGGTAATTAGGTTTAGCTGAGGTCGTGATGGGATTAGTGAGTGTCCTTATAAGAAGAGGAAGAGACCAGAGCTTCCTCTCTCTGTCCTGTGAGGACAGGGCCAGGAGGTGGCTGTCACTAAGCCAGTAAGTGGGCCCTCACCAGAACTCAATGTGAGCGATGTCCTAGCAGTCATGGGAGAGCATTTCCAGAAAAAGTAGACACCAGGAAGGTGGGCTGGGCCCAGATCCCATAGGGCCTAAGGAGCATAGGCTTCCTACTGGGGAGCAGGGTTCTGGTGTTGCAGAGAGTTCCAAGATTCCTTGCAGCTGCCATGGGCCCCATAGTGGGCGGGGCTGGAGGATTTTAGGGCTGGTTCTGAGGCCTCTGTCTCTTCTTCTGTCCCTGTCTTTCTGTCCCCAGAGCAGCTCATATCTTATCTGTTTTATATCCTGGGGCTCCTGGTAAGATCTTATTGAAAAAATTTGGGGTTCTGCTTATAAAAATATGGAAATCCACTATGTAGACAGTGAGGGGTTAATAAAAGTCTTGAAACCAAAAAAGTGACCTGATTGGGTTGATATTTTAGAAAGCTCACCCTGGGCACAGTGTACAGGATAAATTGGGGGCCAAGGGGAGGGAAATTGGAGACCGTGGGCCCGTTAGGAGGCTGGCTCAGCAATCTGGGTGAGCAAGCAGGAAGTGTAAACTGGGACAGTGGCAGGGGAACAGGAAGGGGTGGATTCAAGGGACAGTGCAGAGGTCAAGGGACCATGACCTGAAGGGGAATTTGATCTGGAGAAAGAGGGTTTCTAACCTGGGTGTCTGGGCCATCTCCATCTAAGTGACGTTGGAAACAGTGATCTTGGAAATCAGGTGAAAGAAGCCGTAACCACAAGTGAACCCCTCACAGAACAGCAAACAATGTCTGGGAGAGACTGACAAACTGGGAAGAGACCCTTTTGCTCCGAGGGACCTGGTGGGGAGGCTCCAGGTGAGCAGGAAAGTTCATTTCACCTGCATCGTTAGCATCTGATTAAGACCCCCGAGGAGGGGGGGGACCACAGCAAGCTGCGAAGCCAACATCAGCTCTTCCAGGAGGCAGATGAAAGAGATGTTTTGCCAATGTTAAACTGCCAAGCAGTCCCTTGGTATTAAGAACAGTCAGCCTCCTTTTTATTTGGCAGAAAAATCCTCAGCGTACTTCACTGGAGGCCTCAGAATTCGGGCCTCCTGCCAAACCAAGACCTGCGCCTCTTTTCTTCCTTTGCTGGAGACCTGGAAACTATGGCAAAACGTGCCCTGCTTCCACGATTCGAATTAACCCCTGGGCCCTGTTAGTTACTGTTGTGACTTCCAATTTTACTTCTCAGCAAAGCTCCTAGTTCTTGGATGGGTCTGGGTCAAAGAGCTGCCCTGTCCAGTAGAGCAGCCAGCGGCCACACGTGGGGATGAGCCCTTGAATATAGTTGCAGTTGACACGGGCTATAAGTATGAAGTACACACTGGGTTTCAAACACGATAGAAAAAAAGTTAAATATCTCATGAGATTTTCTATATTGGTTACTTGTTGAGATGGTATTTTGAACACAGTGGACTAAATAAAATATATTATCGAAATTACTTTCAAGTTACTTGTTTTAGTGGGGCTACTAGTAAACTTAGAGTCACATGTGTATGTTATATATGTCGTGGTATATTCCCATTGGCTGGCACTGCTGTGGATCATTGAGTGTCCCCAGTATTTATGTGGTAGTGACAGCTTTCAACATCTAGGTCATTTTTATTTCATGGAAATGTATTGCTTTGAAATCACTCTTTCCTAAGAAGATGATATTTGGGCCCGGCTGGCGTGGCTCAGCAGTTGAGCGTTGACCCGTGAACCAGGAGATCGCGGTTCGATTCCCAGTCAGGGCACAGGCCCGGGTTGCGGGCTCGATCCCCAGCAGGGGTTGTGCAGGAGGCAGCCGATCAATGACTCTCATCATTGATGTTTCTATCTCTCCCTCTCCCTTCCTCTCTCTGAAATCAATAAAGACACACATATATATATATATTTATTTATTTAAGATATTAAAAAAAAAACAAATTAAAAAAAAGAAGATAATATTTGGGTCAGAAGGCTTTTTCCCCCCTCAATGGCTAGATGACAGGATAAATTATTAATTTTCAAAATTCAGCTTTGCAGTACAATTTCATAGGAATTCAGTTCCTTCATGCCCCACCTTCACTCTTTTCTTAATCCACAGGAAAACGGATGCCCTCAAGTAACAGTATCTGAGAAGACAGAACAAGTGCCTATGTGATAGGAACTCATCAGAAATAGCAAACCCACAAAACAGTGAAAAAAATATACATATATTATGTAAACACCCAGGGCAGTAAATGAAAAACTTATGTTAATGCAGTACTAAGGATGAAAATTGTAGATCGTAAGCTTCTTTTTTAGAAAAGCAGAAAATAGTGGGATAAGAGCCTGGGAAATAGGAGTTAAGTTTCCATGGAAACAATCACTTACCCACAATGCCAATATTCCATGTGTATGAGAGCTTGTGTGTGTAAAAATGATGGCTGACACATATTAAGCACGTGTGGGAGCGCTGCTCTGAGTGCTTTATGTGTAAACACACAGCAAGACAAAGGAGGCACCTTCCTTCCCTGAGGTCCAGAGAGAGAATCTCAAGATCAGGTAGGTGGTGGAGCCAGGATCGAATCCCACCTCACCCCTCACCTCTCCATTGGGTGGTCATCTGAGCTTGCACTGCACAGTTATAGCCGAACAGAATCATGTGAGGCCAGGAGAGCATTTTAAATATTTCTAGTTTGGTTACATCTTAAGATTTTAGTGTTTTTCACATTTGTAACCTTAATG